CACGGAAAAAAAAAAAAAAAAAAAAAAAAAAAAAAAAAAAAAATCAAAATTAAGTCACCCCTGCTAGAGTTCCACATCACCAACCTGAACCTAAACTGAGTTGAGAGACAGCCAATTTCCCAAACAGGCCAGCTTCAATCTTTGATAGGCATGATAATGAAGTTCCCTCTGCTTTCATCCTTACACAAAAGAAGTAATCTGATGTTAAACAATCAGTTATTTATCTATTCTGTCTCCCTGTCCCCTCCTTACAAGGAAAGTAACTTTGAAATGACCAATCTGCTTTTTGTTCTTTGTTTCTGTTTTCTTCAGACCTTTTTTTTTTTTCTGTCTGTAAAGTCAACCTCTTTTGCTCAGCTCATCAGAGCACATTCTATTTTATGGAATGAAGTATTGCCCAATTTTAGAATTTCAATAAAGCCAATTGACATCTTTAAATTTGTTGTAATTTGGGGCCGTCCCGTGGCTCACTTGGGAGAGTGTGGTGCTGACAACACCAAGTCAAGGGTTAAGATCCCCTTACCGGCCATCTTTTACAAATAAATAAATAAATAAATTTGTTGTAATTTGGGGCCGTCCCGTGGCTCACTTGGGAGAGTGTGGTGCTGACAACACCAAGTCAAGGGTTAAGATCCCCTTACCGGTCATCTTTTACAAATAAATAAATAAATAAATTTGTTGTAATTTTGTCCTTTGACACTAGTCTTCTTTGGGGATTGATATATCGAGGCTACAGGAATAATGAGATTGGTCTTAATGGTGGAAAGGCAGATAGTGGGGTGTGTGTGTATGAGGGGGGTAGGGAGAGGTGGGGATCTCACCAGAAACACACTGAACTCTAGGGTCCCACTTTGATACAGTTGAATGTGTGGAAGCTGGGGAAGGACACTCTTGTTCCAAATTCACAGGATTCTTTGGAATTCTCCTGACCCTTGCTAGAAGAGGCAGGGAACCTAGGGAAAGCATAGGCTTATTTGGAGTACCAAGAATTGTGGGGAACAAATTTTAATGACTAGTTTGGAGCTAGTGTTCTTAAAGTAACCATTGAATAGTCACCCATTCTTTCAAGGTTCTTCATTAACAATTGTCAACCAATGCCTGAAGCTAGTGCCTCAAATATATTTTCTAGACAAGGATGAATTAAATAGTATGGGGCTTATAATATTCTATTTATATAGAAGAAAACAACCCCCAAATGCTGAAAATTGAAAAAGTGCCTGAAGATTTTAAATCTTGCAGAACAACATCCTCATGCACCAGACTTATCAATTTTGGAAAACCAATGATTCGGTATATGATTTTTAGAACAAAGATATTTTAACCAACCTGTTGGGTATGACCCACTTGCACCTTTCTGGGGATCTAATTATCTTCCACCATATCAGCTAGCATTGTTGATTGACGGAAGTGGGACTAGATCCAGGTCTTCCGATTTGTGATTGAATGCTCTTTTCTGAAGGGTGGTTTCAGAGGAAAACATCAAAGAAAACAGTGGCAAAAATGGTCCAGGCATGCTTCTCTTGTCCTGCAAGGTGAATCTTCACTTCTGGACCTAGTTCTTCTCATCGCCCCTGAGGCTGCCTCACAAAGACTCAGACTTATATTCTTCATTGCCTCTTGTCCACAACTGTGGACCTCTCCCACCTTACTCTCAAGACGGACCCTAGCTCTGTTTAGGTAGGAGGAGTGGTCAAACCTAAGATGATTCTAGGCTTTCTGGTGTTTTTGCTGGACCTGTTTGCTCCAGTGCCCCTTCTCCTTCCTTGCCCAGTAAATAAATTCTCCAGCAGCTAGAAACCTTCCTCCCTGGAAAGAGAAGGCAAATCAGAGGTTTTAACTCCAGGCACCTTAATCTGCACTCTGGAACCCTCCAGGGGCCACTCTTGGGCTTTCAGCAGCTGGGATGGGCAGTATTCAAAACTCTATTTCAACAGCTCTTTCCAGTGGTATGTCAGTTGACCACAGTGGCAGTAGCTACCATCGGAGATCGTATTGACTTGGCTTTAAAGGGGATTTCAGACAGACCCTCAAAGAAACACACACGCATGCATGTACACCAACACCTCTACTACTTGTTTCATTATCTATAATTGCACAAGTAATCATTCACTTTTCCAATGCCAGAGAAAACAAACAACTTTAGGCTAATTAGCGCTAAGTAGAAGAAACAAAATTTAGCAGCTCTTGGCTAATTATAACACTTTTTTTTTTTTTTTTTTACAATTATTTAAGACCTTTATTAACAGGTGCTTGCAGTTTGTAGACTTTTTTGAAAAAACCAAGTTGTAAACTTTTATTACAAATTAAAAATGAAGTTCTTAAAAATCTCAACTTGACCAGATATGAAACAATTTAAAAACCTTTAAAGGTATATTGAGAAAAACCAGGCTTTTTTAAAAAACACGTTTGTCATTACCAAAAAGAGACGTTTTTAGGTAAAAATAATAAAAACCCCATGCTGCATAGATAATGCAGATAGTTCTAGTTATCTGGTCAACAGGCAAAAAGCAAGCACTTAAGGTCTTCAGCTCCAATCTTTTGTTCATTTCTTATTGCTGGAATTTCATATTCATTTCTTCTTGTTGGATGACTAAACCGGATGATGGTAGAGATGTTAAGCCGGCATTTACTCAGCCCAGCCCTGCTCAGCCTCAGGAGCGGACGAATTCTCAGCTGGTGGATCGGCTGCTTTTGTCTCTTTGCCATCTTGTGGTTTAGGGTTTTCTGGGCGTCTGCGTCGGTAATTGAAGTTGCGGCGGTACCGACGTTGAGGTGGCTGCTGACCTTGGGTCTCATCTCCTTGATTTTCCTTATCCCCTTCATTGCCGTCCTCTCTAGGCTGTCTTTGGCGAGGAGGTCCCCTGCGGAATCGTGGTCTATAACCTCGATACATATTCTGTCTCACTGGTCTACCTGGTTCTCCTGCACCCTGGTTGTCAGCACCCTCCATGACTTCTCCCCGCACAGGTGGGTTGGAATACTGTGGCCGACGCCCATAGGGTCTCCGCATGTAGCAAGGTGGGAACCTTCGCCTGCGGTAGGGCCGGCGTTGTTGGGCCTGGCCTCCGGGAGCGCTCTCGATCCCTCATTCTTGTCCCCACTCTCACTGTTCTGGTAATTCTGCTGGTAATTGCGTGGAGAACCCCTACGACGTGGACAGCGTCTATAATGGTTACGGTCTGCTGCGTATTTCCTGCCTTGAACCGGAACTGCACCAGGGCCTGTAACATGTGCTGCCCCCGCACCCTTTTCTCCTTCAACAACATCAAACTCCACTGTCTCTCCATCTCCTACACTGCGAAGGTCCTTCCTGGGGTTCTTCTTCTTTATTGCAGTCTGGTGTCCAAACACATCTTCCTTGGTGTCATTCCTGTTGATGAAACCATATCCGTTTCTTACATTGAACCATTTTACTGTTCCCAAAACCTTCGTTGCTGGAAAACAAAACAACTCACGATTACCAGATAATCCTTTTTAAAACAGCCCGGCTTCAGCATCCGGTGCCTCGCACGCTCCCAGGTCAGGGCCGCAGCCACCTGACAGCCCTTTTTCTCGAGCGCCCGTGTGCAGGGCCGCGCGGGGACCTCGACGGCGCCCTCGCCGCACACGTGGGTGAATTCGAAGCCGCCGGGCGCCCCCAGGCAGGCCCGGGGCGCGGGCCCAAGATGGGCGTGTGCGCAGGCCGCGGGCGAAGAGCACGTGAGGGAAGGGGAAGCAGCCGCTCCCGCTACCGATCGAACTTAATTATAACACTTTTTAATTCATTCTTTCATTTGAAGACTTCATCTAATTAGAATTTTATTTTTAAATTCTATAATAATACTTTTTATTCAAGCTACTATTAAAAGACTTGTTTTTAAATTCTCTCATGTCAGAAAATTTACAAAATAAAGATAGACTATATGAAAATATTTTAGCAATAGAATTTAGAGATTTACTTTGTACATGAAACTCAATTTCTTAATTTAATTAAATCTGAAGTAAATTGTCAGAGTTTTTTGCTGTGCCAAAGCAATTTAGTAGTTATAGTACAAAGGATGTATCCTACTATATTTTTGCTTAGTAAACTACTTATTACTTATAAAATTTAAACATCGCCCAGCTTCACAAGTCTAGGCAGTGAGGTCACATCAACATTAATACCTAGGGCCTGCCCGTGGCTCACTCGGGAGAGTGGGGTGCTGATAACACCAAGGCCACGGGTTCGGATCCCATATAGAGATGGCCGGTTAGCTCACTGGGTGAGCGTGGTGCTGACAACACCAAGTCAAGGGTTAAGATCCCCTTACCGGTCATCTTTTTAAAAAAACCAAAAAAAACATTAATACCTAAATTTTGCCACTTCCTCCACTGGCCTCCACTCCCCCCCCCACACTTTTAAAATTTTGTTTTATTTTGTTAGTCTCCAGGGCATGCTTCAAAATGCTCAGGATGAATTCGGCTTGTATTCTGCTCCACTGAGCTCCATCATTTAGTCAGCTATCCACAGTACATTAGTGATTTCAGAGAATATAATCAGAAATGCTAATTAGAGACATTTGAGAACAAGCAAAAGGAAGCAAACAGGACTTAAAATATTTATATTGTGGTAGTAAAGCTGCATGGAAGAATATATCTTGAAAGCGAGGCCAAGTAGTCATTTTTTCCCCTCTTTGAATAGAACTTGCCGACTTTGTCATATTTGGGGCAGCTGGAAAACCACAGACCTCCCTTTAACTCCTGCAGCTTAGAAGGGACTATAGCCAGAATCTACCCACTAGACATATACAAGAATCAGCTCAGACTAGCAGGAACATCCTGTTACACTTACTTTTGATATGATTTTTCCCAAATTAATCTGCATATTCAATAAAATTCCAATAAAATACTTAAATGATTATTTTATACAGAATATTGACAAGCTGATTGAAAATGTATTTGAGGGCCGGCCCGGTGGCGCACTGCTACAGTGCGCCGCATGGGAGTGTGGTGGCGCTCCCGCCGAGGGTTTGGATCCCACATACAGACCGGTTCCCGCTCACTGGCTGAGTGAGGTGCGGACGCGACACTGAGGGTTGCAATCCTGTTGCCGGTCCCGGTCCGGTACGGGCGTGACACTGAGGGTTGCAATCCGTTGCCGGACATGAAAAAAGACAAAAAGGAAAAAAAAAAAGAAAATGTATTTGAAAGTTAAAATGTGTTAGAAAAACAAAAAATAATTTTTAAAAAAATCAAAGGAGGACTTGTCCAACTATAAATCAACCCATATTGCACTTACTTTTCCAATATTCATTTTCTTTTTATTTTTAAAAATTATTATAGAAAAATTCACAAAAGTAGAAAAATGCACAATAAAACCCCATATGTCTACAGTATGTTTCCTATTGCTGCTATAACAAATCGCCATAAATTTAGTGGCTTAATACAAATTTATTCTCTTATAGTTCTGGAGATCAGATGTCTAAAATCAAGGTGTCAGGAAGGATGCATTCCTTCTGTGGATTTCAAGAAAGAATTTGTTCCTTGCCTTTTCTGGCTTCTAGAGGCTCCCTGAATTCCTTAGCTGGTCACTCCTTTCTCCATCTTCAAAGCCAGCAGTGTGGCATATTCTCTCTGACCTTGCTTCCTTCTGCTTTCTTTGTCACTCCTTTTCTGTCACATGGTCTTTTTTTTTTTTTTTTAATTTTGACCATCTTGCCTCCCTCTTACAAAGGCCCTTGTGATTATATTAGGCCCACCTAGGTAACCAAGGATAATCTCCCCATCTCAAGATCCTTAACCAGATCATACCTGCAAAGTCCCTTTTGCTATGTAATGTAATATTTTCACAAGTTGTGGCAATTAGGACTTGGACATCTATGGGGGGCCATTATTTTGTCATCCACACATAATGACATCTCAATCACTCTTATCTCATGTATAGTCCAACCCTCTCGCAATCTATTATTTTGAAGCAAATCTCAGTTAGCATACCATTTCATCTGTAAAAATTTTAGTATATATTTCTAAAAGACAAGAGCTCTTTTAAAAAACATGACTATAATACCATATCACACCTAAAGATAATATTTTATATTTTAATATCATTGTTTAGTATTTCAGTTTTCCTGATTGTCACACAATTCTCTTTTGTAGTTGAGTCAATATAATGAACACAATATACATATATGATCTATCGATCTATCCCTTAAGTCTCTTTTAACTTACAAGCTTCTAAGGTGGACACTGAGATACTGCGGTCTGATCCCCCTTCTATGAAGGAGTTGCCCCAGCTTCTGGAAGTGCTGTCGGCAGGCAACATTCATCTGTCAGTGCCTTCAGGGATTCCTCAGCGGCAGAGAGCCTGTGCACCCAAGGCCACACCCCTTCTGGGAGGCCCATATTTAACAACCTATCAATGAAAAGGAATAAAGTCCTAGTCATCTCAGCCTAACTCTTCTGCTTTCTGGGAAATCCATCCTGTGGCAATTGTTACCAAGAGGGTTCCAATAAAAGAGCAGTTAAAGTGAGGTTTTGGAGGGCCGGTCCAGTGGCGCACTGCTGCAGTGCGCCGCTTGGGAGCGCTGAGGCACTCCCGCCGAGGGTTCGGATCCCACATACAGACCGGTTCCGCTCACTGGCTGAGCGAGGTGCGGGCGCAGCGCCGAGGGTTGCGATCCCGTTGCCGGTCCCGGTCCGGTGCGGGCGTGACACTGAGGGTTGCGATCTGTTGCCGGACACAAAAAAAGACAAAAAGGAAAAAAAAAAAAGGGAGGTTTTGGAACTGAATCACTTCTTACCAGTGTGATGAGGATCCAATCACAGGTTGTTAAAACTTTCTCCAGTAGTGAATTGTGTGATATATGGTGCAAGGAAATGCATTAGCGGGTGCGATATATAAAGTGTTCAAGGAATATGGGCTAGCTATAAGGGGTAAATATAGTAACTCTAAGGATAATGGTATTGGGTGGCTATCACTAAGCACAAGAAAAAGATAAAGCTGACAGCATTAATTGCCAGATGGAAACTAACTGTGAAATCCAGAAAGTCTGCCTAACTTACAAAGTGGGCAGATCTGAAAGCCAAGGATCAGGCCATGACTTAATTGTCAGAGTAGCTGAGCTCCAGAGACAGTTAAACTCCCTACATGGCCAAGTCTTCCAGGCCAAGGTCAGGGCCCTGATGGAGAAAGGATGGAAACCTGACACATGGAATGATTTCTAGGTTGATGACCTAGAAATCTTGAGTCACAAATTCCCCTGAACCCTTTGATCCTGAAGACGTTGACTCCTCCCTATAAGAACTAGCATTTTCCCTTGCTTGTCTATGATGTAGTGATCTTTTTCCCACAAGACAACATCTACCTCCTCTCCTGGCCACTAGGCCTAAAACTAGGGTTAAGTCACAACAGAACTCAGTCAAGAATGTGCTAGGTCTGACAAGAGAGGAAAGAGACTGTATCCTCAAAGGAGCTACAAGTCTGCTAATATGTGCTGGGGGATTGTGCATGCTTTTGGTTTCTGAAGGTGCTTCGTGAGCAGGACAGAATATAGAATAGGGGAAATTTTATTAATTTGGGAGCTCTCTCACAGTTTATTGGATTTAATACTCTGGCAAGAACCCCAGGAAATAATGCCAACTTTCTCCCAGGATGACTTCTAGAACATGGAAAAAGTGATGTCCACACTAAATGAAGTTTGAATGGTAGAATTTCCATGACATATAGTAGAAAAAAGGATTAAAAATCTCAGAAGTGAGCATGCTGAAATGGATATACTATATAATGTAGGAAATTCTCCAGATGATTATGTTCCACAGAAAGGCCCAGAGGATACATCATTTACCAAGGCAGTAAGAAATGTCCTGGTAAGAAGGCCTTTTGTGTCACTCACTAAGAAGGTCAGTTGTTGTTCTCCTCTGTGGGCCAGGGCCGATGGTAGGAGAAGTCATTACAGAACTAGGCTTCCTAATAGGAATGGCAATGATAGGACTCTAAAACAATACAGACTAGGTGGCAACATTTAATCATTAGAAACCATATGGACACAATTATCGTAACACATGTCAAGGTCAGAGAGTTATTTAGGGGCACCTGATCTGCAGAGAATTATAGAGATTGTTTTAGAACATGGTAACTGTGATGGCTAATTTTTAAAATTGAATATTAACAAATTATAATTGTATAAATTTCTGGGATAAAATGTGATGCTATCATACACACACACACACAATGTGGAATGATCATTCCATCACCTCAAATACCCATCGCCTCAAATACTTATTATTAATTTTTTTTTGTGGATAGTTGGTTCAGGAATCTGAACCCTTGAACTTGGTGTTATCAACACTATGCTCTAACCAAGTGAGCTAACTGGCCAGCCTTAAAAACTTATATTTTATTCCTCCTGTCTAACTGAAACATTGTACCCTTTGGCCAACATCTCCCATTCCCCCCACCCCCAGTCTCTAGTAATCGCCATTCTGCTCTCTGCTTCTATGGGTTTGATTATTTTAGATTTCACTTATAAATGAGAACATGCATTATTTGTCTTTCTGTACCTGGCTTATTTCACTTAGCATAATGTCATCCAGGCTCATGTGATGGCTAATTTTATGTGTCAACATGGCTGGGCAGTGAGGTGTCAGATATTTGGTCAAACATCATTTTGGGTGCTTCTTTGATGGTGTCTTTGAATGAGACTAACATTTAAATCAGTGGACTTTTAGTAAAGCATTTATTTTTTTTTTATTTTTTTTTTTTTTTTTGTCTTTTGTCTTTTTTCCGTGTCCGGCAACGGATCGCAACCCTTCAGTTGAAGGCCTGAATAGAACAAAACAAGTGGCCTCCCTGAGCAAAAGGGAGTTCTTCAGCAGACTGCCTTTGGACTTCACTTCCAACTTTGGCTCTTCCTGGTTCTATAGCAGATGGCCTTCAGACTCCTCCTGCAGCATCGGCTCTCCTGAGTCTCCAGCCTGCCAGCCCACCCAGCAGATTTTGGATTTGCCAGCCTCCATAATCATTTGAGCCAATTTCTAATAATAAATCTCTCTCTCTATGTATAGACATCCTATTGGTTTTGCTTCTCTGGAGAACCCTGACTAACATAGTGTCCCTGTGGTAGCACAGATGGGCAGCCAAACTGGTATATGCAATCTGTATCATAAAAAGAAATTGAGAGGCCTGGCTGGTTAGCTCAATCCAAGGTCATGGGTTTGGATTTCCATACTGGCCAGCTACCAAAAAAAAAAAGAAAGAAAGAAAAGAAAAAGGAAAAGAAATTGAGGATTTATGATCAGAAGGTTAAAGGAAGTCATCCCAATAAAAAGTCGTAATCCCCTTGCCTGATGTTTGAAATTCAACCAGTTTTTATACCCAGAGACTACTGACTTGAGAAAAGGTAGGGCCCCCAGGAAGAAGGACCCTGCAACACCTCAAAATATGTACACAGTAAGTAATGTTTTCTTCTGTCCTTTCCCAAAGAGATATGCAGCCATTTACTTGGGTAACTATGCACTGGGGACAGGAGTATAACCAAATATTTCAAGGATCATTGGATACTGGGTCCAAGCTGACATTGATATTCAGAGACCTGAACTGCCATCATGGTTCCACTGTTAGAATGGGGCTATACAGAGACCAGGTAATAAAAGAAACCCTTGCTTAGGTCCAGCTCACAGTGGGTCCACTGAATCTACAGACTAACCCAGTGGTCATTTCCCCACTCCTCAAATGTATGTTCAAAATAGACATATCTGGAAGTTGGCACAACTCGCATAATGGCTCATTGGCTTGTGGGATAAAAGCTACATAGTGAGGAAGGCCAAGTAGTAGGTTCTGAATGGCCAAGACAATAAAGTTTTTGTTTTGTTTCATTTAGGTGGCTGGCCAGTACAGGGATCTGAACCCTTTAAATTTAGTGTTATAAAACTATGCTTTAACCAACTGAGCCAACCAGGCAGCCAAGACAATGAATATTATATCCTGGGGTAGAGGGTGGAAATTAGGGCTATTCTTAGAAATTTTAGGATTCAGGGTGCTAATCCTTATCATATCTTCATTTAATTCACCAGTCTTGCCCCTGAAAACACTAGACAGATTTTGGAGAATGACAGCAGGCTACTGAACTCAACCAACTTCAGTACCAATAGCAACAATTGTAGCCTTGTCCTGGATATGGAATCTTTGCTAGAATAGATGAACATTTTCCTAGATGCATATGGCCTTTGATTTGGTGAATACGTTCTTTCTTATCCCTATCAGAAAACAAACAAACAAAAAATAAGATGGATCAGAAACAGTTTGCATTCACCTGGAATGGACAACAGCAAAAATTAAGTTTTACCCTAGGGCTATGTACTCTCCTGTCCTCTGTCATACTATTGTCCAAAGAGGTCAGGCCGGCCCGTGGCTCACTCGGGAGAGTGCGGTGCTGATAACACCAAGGCCACGGGTTCGGATCCCATATAGGGATGGCCGGTTCGCTCACTGGCTGAGCGTGGTGCTGACAACACCTAGTCAAGGGTTAAGATCCCCTTACCGGTCATCTTTAAAAAAAAAAACAAAAACAAAAAACAAAGAGGTCTGGACTCTCTTAACATCCTGTTGATAAGTGGCATCATACTAATCAGGTGGAATGAACAAGAGGTGGCCATTATGATGGAACCTTTGTAAAGACACATGCACTTCAGAGGTGTGAAATAAATCCTATGAGATTCAGGAACCTGCTGCAAGAGTGAAAATTTTTTTTAGGGGTCAAATGATCAGGCGCATGCTTGGATATTCCATCTGAAGAAAAGAATAAATTGTTTCATCTTACACATCCTATCATGAAGAAGAAAGAACAAATCCTAGTAGGTCTCTTTGGGTTCTGAAAGCAACTTAGTCCACATCAGATAATACTGCTCTGACCTGTACACCAGGTTTCTAAAAAAAGGAAAGGGCTCTGTAGCAGGTCCAGATGGTGGTGCAAGAGACCCTGCTGCCAAAGCCCTGTTCCTCTCTGTGTGACTAGGTCCCATCCTTGGGTATATCTTAGATCCCATTTTTAGAGAATCCTGCTAAGTCAGTTTAGCCAGAATCCCCCACCTTTGCTATCTGATCACTCTCCATATCTGATCAAATTCCTCCCCCCTTTATCCTCCCTCATCACCTATCATTCCCCGGATGATATCTGATCATTCTGGCCTGCCTTCAGCAAGAATTCTGTTAGGTCAGTTTAGCCACAATTTCCCTATCTCTGATGTTTCCTCTCAGTAATTTTCCATTCACTGACCCCCACACTGCTTCTTAACTATAAATTCCCACTTTTCTTTTTTGAATTTGGAATTAAGCCCAGTTCTACACTCAGGTCTCTTTCCCCCTATTGCAATAGTTCCTTAGTAAAATCTGTTTTTACCACTTTAACTACTGTCCAGCTCTGGTTTTTCTTTGACACCTTGGTCATTCAACTTGTGTGGAAAGAGAAATGGCACAAGGTTAGAGTATGTGTGCTCCTGAGCAGTGATGAATGTCTTGGCTATCTGATCAGGGGTCTGAAAGGATGACTATTGGGGACAAGTATACATAGAGGTAGAGAATAAATATGAACACCATCCTCCAGGATGCAAGGTTTACTTTAAATTGAAGACCTGTACATAGTCTGTAAAGAGTGGAAACAGGAGTGGTGTCACTTACCATCATTCCCAGTGATTTACTTGAGGAATTTGTCCTTCTCCATCTCTATAATTCTGGACTCTGATGTTAAGAGATCCTGATCTCCAGACTTCCATCCCCGCCTGGGGGCCATGGGTCTTAGCCCTGCCCCCACCCCACATCCAGGCCAGGAACAGAGCTGGAGCAGACAGCCCTGCCCCGGCCTGCAACCAGATCTTAGAATGTACTTATTACCACCTGTGTTTCTTTGGGGTGTGTGACTTATCTGCTTACGTCCTTCACCAAATTTCTGCTTAGATTTTTCTGATTCATTTTTAAGAGATCTTTTTGCAATAAGGATGATAATCTTTGTGTATTTAAAAAAAAAAAAAAGTAGAGAGTAGAGTAATGGTTACCACAGGCTGGGAGGGGTGGGAATGGAGGAGAGGATGAGGGGTGAATTAATGGGGACAAAACTATGCTGTCTACCCTAAGTGAATCATTATGCAGTATATGCATGTATTGAAACAACACTCTGTACCCCACAAAAAATATAAATAAAATTGGAAAAAAAAAAAAAGAGAGAGAGAGAGATCCTGATCTCCAAAGGGGAACACTTCTGCCAGAAGACACAGCAATCATCCTGTTAATTATGAGCTATGCCTGCAGTGGGCACTTTGGCATTTTATGGCAAGGAACCAGCAGGCAAGAAGAGGAGTCTTCATCCTGGTAAGGGTAATTGCATTTTGTCAGGAGAGGGCAAAGATGATGTTGTGCAGTGGAGCAGGAAACAGTATGTGGATCACTTGAGTGCCTTGTGGGACTCCCTTATTCAGTTTCATAAAGAGGGAAGTGCAATGCCCTTTGTCTGAAAATAGCATATTCTATTAGTTTCCTATTGCTGATATAACAATTTGCTACAAACTCAGTGGCTTAAAATGACACAAGATTGTTATCTTGTAATTCTAGAGGTCAGAAGTTCAGAAATGGGTCATATGGGCTAAAATCAAGACATCAGCAGGGTTGTGTTCCTTTTGGAAGCTCTAGGAGAGAATTGGTTCCTTGCCTTTTCCAACTTCTAGAGGCTACCAGCATCCCTTGGCTTATAGCCCTGTTCCAATAATGATATCACTCTTCTGCTTCCATTGTCATAGCTTCTCTGACTCTCCTGCCTCCCTCTTTCCCTTGTGATAACACTGGACCCACCTGGGTAATCCAGGGTGATCTCCCCACCTCACCATCCTTAATTTAGTCACATATTTGCAGGAGGATTGTGCAAAGTCCCTCTAGTCATGTAAGGTAACACAGTCATAGGTTCTGGGGATTAGGAGGTAGGCATCATCAGGGATGAGGGTCTGTCTCACCCGACCAGACAAGCCACTGAAATGAGCAGAGATACTACATCATGGTGAGGGGAATTTGGATTGGATGGTAGAGGAAGAAGATGACGTGTATCAGTTGTGGCCTTGAGACAAGTAGTTGCTGAAGAAACTCCTTTATTTTGTCCCACTAACCTTCCTCTTCTAAGGTTCCTCTACAAGGAGAGGTCCACAGGAATCCTGGAGTGTTGTTCCCAAACATATGTATATGAAGAAGTGGATTGGAGTAGCTTTGTCAGTTGTCAATTGATGGCTTCTGGCACCAAATTCAACTCTTTATGCTGTTTTGTGCTTGGACCCAACAACATGGGCCTCCACTTACCAAGTGGTAGCTACTGCTACCACTAAACGTCCAATGAAAGAGACCAACATGGAGCCTCTGACTTGTCACTATTCCCGAGGGAGACTGTGTAGAAAAGAGCTAACATAGCAGGCCTGACTTCTATGCTTAGAAAGGCATGCTTACAAGGTTATCTCTTGGCTGGCATCTGAGAACTTGGATTTCAGGAGGGTTCCCACCATTCCCAGAACTGATAAGAATGGCTTATTGCCTGGCTTCAACAAGGGCTACTGCCAGGCTAATGTCTCAAATCCTGCTCACAGCGCCAATTGTCTAGCTCTTAATCATGTTCCTGATGCCAATTGTAAAGCTAGGCGACCACGATAGTTGTTGCGGCTCTTTTACCTGCTGGTAATCCTGCACCGACTGGGCCAATTTTCAAGCTAGGGCTGGGTCTGGAGCTCCCAGACCCCTCAAGCCCGTTCACAGACTGGGTCACAAACCCTTCATACGCCAGGCTGGGTCACCAGACCCCTTCACACAGGTCTATAAGCTAGGCAACTGGCCACATGGTCTTTGGAAGCTGCAGGTCTGGAAAAACATGGCCGGGCATGGCGGGTGCCTGAGGCAGTAAAACACCAGTCAAAGCAGCACAGATTTGCAGGTGCACTTACTCCATCCACACACACAGTGTTACGAACCACCCTGAACTGACTCTAAGGCGAGGGGAGCCTGACCAAACTGTTCCATTTTCCCAACACTTACGATAACCAAACTGTACAAACAAATATGATTTATGCCAAATTCCTGCTTTCCTTCAGGGAGTCTGGAATTTTGGTATGTGCCAGACAGAGACTGCCTACGTGACCAACCCCTAACAAAAACTCCGGGTACTGAGTCTCTAACAAGCTTCTCTAATAGGTAACATTTCACAAGTGTTGCTACAACTTGTTGCTGGAAGGATTAAGCACATCCTTAATCTGTTACCTGGAGAGAGCCCTTAGAAGTTTGAGCGTTTTCCTCAGACTTTGCCCCATACATATTTTTCCTTGGTAGATTTTGCCTTGTGTCCTTTGCTATAACAAATCATACCTGTGAGTGCAGATATATGCTGAGTCCTGTGAATCCTCATACTGAATCACTGAAACTGGGTGTGGCTTGGGGATCTTGGACACAGGATCAACCAGCCACCCGATGCAGGTTGGTTACATTGGATCTTTTCCACCATGCAAGGGGCAGAAATGTGTCCTTACTGGAATAGATATATATTCTGGATGTGATTTCACCTTTGCTGTTTGCAATGCTTTTGGCAACAGTATCATCTTTGAACTTACAGAATTCCATATTGAGGTAATAGCATCACCCATGGCATTGTGTCTGATCAAGACACTCATCTCACAGTAAAGGAAGTGCAGCAGTGGGTCATGGCTTTGGAATTATTTGGTCGTACCACCTACCTCATTACTCAGAAGCATCTGGCCTAATTGAAAGGTGAAAATGTCTTACTAAAGACTCAGTTATGAAGTCATTTAGGAGACAAAGCTTGAAAGGATGGAAGTATATGCTTTATATGCTTTAAACCTGAGAGATCATTCTATTCTACAGTCTTCCCATAGCCCGAATATATGGGTCTGCAAATCATAGAAGTGTGAGTGGCTCCTTTCACTAAACAATGAATTTTTCTCAGTATTATTTTGAACTTACAATTTTTAAAATATTTAATGTTATTTTACACCAGTATTATTCATTTTGATTCTCATATCATTCCAGCTTTGGCCTTTTCAGGTTTGCTTCTAAGTCTTTTTGGTATGTCCCTAATATTCTTTGATAGTTTCCTTATTTTCTGGTATGACAAATGTTCAGACTCATTTTATGCCTTCTGCCCAGGACCAGGAATCAGCCATTTCAACGAAGACCCCTGGTTCATTTTAATAGCAAGTAGTATTTAGAGACCACAGTCTAGGTGCCGGTGGGCATGGGAGGGGCTTATAGCAACTGAATTAGTCATTATTGAACCATATTTTAAAGCTTCAGTAAATAAAAGTGTGGTATTAGCTCAACATTAAACTAATAATCAGTGGATTTGAATAGTCCAGAAACAGATTTTGTATGGCTACACATAGAGCTGTAAATATCTCTATGCAAACATAGTTTAAGATGGCAGATAAAGATAAATTATCGATAAAGATGGCAATTCAAATGTTTGGAGAAAAGAAGAAATGACATTGGAACCGGACTACTCACTCAGAAAAAATTTCTTATGCCATGCTGTATATAAATAAATTTTGGCGCATAAATGTATAAACATAAAAAGCAAGACGTAGCAGAGTATTTTATAATTTTGGACTAGGGAAGAAGTTTCTAATCAAGACATAAATCCTAGAATACACAAGGAAAAAAAATAGACTTGAAATTCCTGAAAATGAAAACTTTACAACAAAAGATAGCATAAACAAAATAAATACACAAACAACGGGGGGGGGGGGCGGGCAGGGAAGAAGACAAAAAAATTAAAATTCCTTGAACTTGTTAAGACAAGTGAACAGATATGATGTTGATGGGTGGGAGGGGAGAGAGGGAAGGGGGAGGGAAAAATCGGTAAAGCGACATGAAAATCAACTACATTGTATATTGATAAAATAAAATTTAAAAAAAGTAAAATAAAAAAGGCAAAAAAAAAAAAAGATAGCATAAACAAGTCTTAAAAGACTGGAAGAAAACACTTTCAACATACAAAACAAAGCATTTCTGTCCATACTATAGAAAGTGTTCCTAAGAAAACAATAAGAAAAGTTCTAACAATCCAATAGAAAATTGGAAAAGGATAAAAAATAGGCAATTCACCAAAGAAATACAAATGATCAGTAAATTTATGAAAGCTGATTAGACTCAGAACAGAAAAATGCAAACTAAAATGAGAACAGTTTTTGCCCATCATTTGATAATATGTTAAATTTTGCCATTATTTAGTATTAATGAGAACCTGAGGAAAACAAATGTTCTTATAAATTCTTTTTGAGAATATTAATTGCCCTACTCTCTAAAAGAGAAATTTGGTGATAGCTACCAAAAAATGCACAATGCCCTTTAACCCAGCAAGCCCACTTCTAGGAATCCATCATACAAAATTACTCATACTTTTGCCCAAAAATATGTGCACTAAGATTTTCATTGTAATATTGTGTATAATAGAAAAAAAAATTGGAAACAATCTAAATGTCTATTGCTTGAAGTAGTTAAATAAATGGTTTCCCCTCTGTTACAGTACTCTATAAAGATGTCAAAAAGAAAATCATATATATATTGATATGAAGAGATTTTCAACACCCTATTATGTGCAAAAAGCACATTATAGAATGTTATAAATTGGGGCTGGCCCAGTGGCGCACTGCTACAGTGCACTGCTTGGGAGCGCGGTGGCGCTCCCGCTGAGGGTTCGGATCCCACATACAGACCAGCCACTCACTGGCTGAGCAAGGTGCGGGCGCAACACCGAGGGTTGTGATTCCGTTGCCGGTCCCGGTCCGGTACAGGTGTGACACTGAGGGTTGCGATCCGTTGCCGGTCACGAAAAAAGACAAAAAGGAAAAAAAAAAAAAAAGAAAAAAAGAATGTTATAAATTGATCCAGTTTATGTAGCCCCTATTAATAATTGCATACATATGCTATGTGTAAATACATGGGGAAAAGGCATGAATATATAAAACCGTGAGCAGTGTTTTTCTCTTGGAAGGGAATGGAATTGGGGTAGGGTAAAAGGGGGCTTTCACTTCTACTTTATGTATCTCTTATTAGGTTTTTTTCTTTTTACAACATGTCTGTGTTTACTAGAAGGACATACATTAACTATTAAAAACAGTTGTTTTGGGGTGATGGGTCTAATGATGATTTCTATATATATATATATTTAAAGATGACTGGTAAGGGGATCTTAACCCTTAATTTGGTGTTGTCAGCACCACGCTCTCCCAAGTGAGCTAACCGGCCATCCCTATATAGGGATCCAAACCTGTGGCCTTGTTGTTATCAGCACCATACTCTCCCAAGTGAGCCACGGGCCAGCCCTATATTTTTTAATATATATTTTTATATATTTTAATGATGATTTCTATATTTTTATATTTTCCAGATTTTGTACAAGCTAGTATTTATTACATAATAATACAAATTTAATTAAAATGATGCTATTGGCTTCTGGTCAAGATGGAGAATAGACAGTCCCCAGCATAAGTCTCTCCCACAAATCAACCAATTTACAACTATTAAAAAGCAATGACAAAATGAATAGGGGCCAGCCCGTGGGTCACTTGGGAGAGTGTGGGGCTGATAACACCAAGGCCATGGGTTCGGATCCTTATATAGGGATGGCCGGTTAGCTCACTTGGGAAAGCGTGGTGCTGACAACACCAAGTCAAGGGTTAAGATCCTCTTAGCGGTCATCTTTAAAAAAAAAAAAAAAGCAATGACTAAATTAAAAAAAAAAAAAAAAAAAGAAAAAAAAGCAATGACAGCCAGGCTGGGACCGCTGGAGCTCAGTGGAAGAGGAGGACAGACCTATGGAGTGCATGAAGGCAGGAGAAGCCATGATGAAAGAAAGAACTGTTCTGACCATTTTAAGCCCTGGCCACTTCAAGGCTGGAGCTGGTGAGTGCTTGGAGCAGGAGTTGGCAAAAGCCGCAGCTGTGTCCTTCTATGAAGTTGCTTGGAGATGGCAGGGGAGAAGAGGGCCTTGGTGGCCCCCAGGCCAGCAACACCACTAACAGGGTTCCTGTCAACCCACACAGGAGCGAGGAGCCACAGCAACTGAAAGAAGGAGCCACTCAGAGGCTGGTGAGTCACTACAAGGGGCTTGCACACGGCCTGTCCCATGGGGAGTGTTTGGAGTATGGGGCAGTAGGGGAGATGGGCCCACTGGGGGAACATGGGGGCACAGCATGGACAGCTAATCTGCCCCCCAATCAGCACAAGACCACTCAGTGGAGACTAGTCAGGAATACAGATCTGCATGGGGTGCAGTTTGCTGAAAAGACCCAGGCCCAGACCAGAGTTTCCACACAACCCAGGTGTACCAGAACTCACAAGACCTGGAAGT